CATTAAAATTAGGAAGATATGTAAAGTTCTAAAAAGAGAACTGCAAAACATGTCAATTATTGCTCCTATTGTTTAAGAATGGTAAGAACTTGAGCACGTTTAAGTGCTAGTGATAGGAGAATGTGCAGAAAGAGGAGGGAGAAAATCACAGTGGAACAAAGTCCCCAAGGAAGCACAGAATACAGAATGTTTTGTAGGGGACTTCTTTTCCATTTTAACAGGAAGGAAGAAGCAAAGAATATCATCCCACAAATATAGGTGAAATTATAAATTCTATATAAAGAAGTGAAAGCAATTTTCTTTTATGACATGTATTTCCCATCCAACACAAAAGATAAGACTTAAGTGAGAAAAGTCTGAAATCCTTGTTGTGAGTTACGGAAGAGAGTGGACTAAAAAGAAAAACTCTTTTCAGGAGAACAGATCCATCATAGAGCACAACTGACAATTCAGGTTGACAGCAAGAAATTCATTATAGGGCTAATCAGGAGCCTATGTGTAATAGGTAAAGGAAAGATGTATGGTTTGATTAAAGGTTTTACAGGGTGGGACAAGAAACGACAGTGGGACAACATAGTGTAAGACTGGCCCAAAAGCGCGAATCTTACTTGCTGGGAAGGCTCATCTTGCAAAGACCAGGAGACAGAGTTCGATGCAATAATGCAAGAGGTTTTTATTTTCAGCATGCTNTAGGCAGGCTTTGGTAAAAGGCTGGGTTGTACGCCGTTTATTGGCCACTTTAAGCAATTTTTAAAACCATTGGGCTTTTAGCTTTTGGCGAGCAAGGGAAGGACTGAGGTATTGACCAATGGTCCACCCCCCCTCTTTCCTCCCTTGGTGTCCAAATATAAGGTAATCAGGTGAGCATACTCCCTTCCTGGAACAGGGTGAACTTTGGGCTTTTTGGAAAGTCCCTTCCCCCTGGCAGCAGAAAGTCCTAATCTTCTGGTGATGGAACGTCTCAAGCACCTAGTAACGGAAGGTCCTAAGTATCTGGTATTGTTTACCAAAAAAGGTTGGGGGTTATCTCTACCTCCACAATAGCTTAGGATAATGGTTAGAGTGTGTTTGAAAAATGCTAATATTTCATATTAAGAAACATAAAATCAGCTATAAATGAAGAGAAGTAACAACAAGGAAAATCTGATAAAGGGAGAAAGTAGGTATTACCATACTGGAGGTTCCATTGAAAAGAAAGAACTTTTCTTTGTTATATGAATAACTTGGAAGAATTGGTGGGTATAGTCAGAGAGCTGGGTAATAGACATTTAGGAAGTTCTCAGTAAAGTGAATGTGCTGAAACCATGGGTATGTGTGGTGGTCACTTAAATGTAGATCTCCAGGAATGTGATGCAGGTGTTTTCATGAACTTGTGGAGAAAACTCAATTTTAATGTCTCAAGATGTGAGTATGATATCTATCTGTTATCTGAGTCACAGGGGCTGGAGATTAACAGGCCATCAGTACAGATAACTGGGATGGGGTTTGGGGAGCAAAGAAAGAGAGTAGGAAGTGGTTGTAAATGGATAGTACCAGACCACTCATAAGAGAAGATGAGCATAACAGCTAACTGGAGATTATAAAAAGAGGACAGAGTCAGAGAGACATGCAGAAAAGAAAAAGAGAAGAGTAGGAGAAAAAAAGGATAAAAGAAGAGAATACAGAAACTGGGAAGAATAAAATGAGGGTACAGATAGCCAAGCTCCAACAAAAATGACTGTACCTATATGCAAAGAAAAGGAGAAGTTCACGGGATCGTGACAAATGTAAGATTAGTAGGAGGGTGAAATGCTAAAAAGAAATTGAAGATAACTGTCAGTAATTCCAAGCCTTGGATCACCTCTAAGGACTTCTGCTATAATTTTCACAAATGATCTACAAAGCACTCGGGGCATGGACATAAGCTGCCCCTCTGTGTTCCTGAAAAAATAAAACCCAACTCTCTTTCGATTAAAAGACAATTGCCAACTTAACTAAGATTTTTCATTTAAGCAAGATATTCTTCTTAAGATAGAATTCTGTTGGTTTACTACTCTAGTCTGACCATATTTACTATTAAATTGAGTTACTATTTCTCAATTCAAGCAAACTTGCTATTAAAAATTTATTAAAACTGAGGGCAACTTAATTCTAGTCCATTTATCTTGACTGAGGAAAAGTTATATTACAGCACTCATGAGCATGGACTCAGAAGCCAAACTGCCTAGGTTTGCATTCTGGCCCCTCCACTCACACTAGCTGTGTGGTGTTAGGTATGTTATTCAACATCTCCATGCCTCTATTTGTCTATAATATGGGATCATATGAGGGTACTTCAAAAAGTTCATGGAAAAACAGAATGGAAAGATAATACAAATTTTCCCATGAGCTTTTTGAAGTACCCTTGCACTAGTGCTACTTCATAGGGTTATTATAAGGATTAAATGATGTAAACTATTAGAATAGTGCCTCACATAGCAAGTTCCATATAAATATTGGCTACTGTTAGTACTACCATTACTACTATTAATATTACTACTTCTTTTTCTTCTACTACTACTACCATCACCACCATCACCAGCACCACTACTCCCACCACCACTACTATGGGAACAGGAGGGAAAATCTCTGATAGATGAAACTAGTTACATCAACATAATGTGCTCCAGATTACAAAGCTCTTTCTCACGACAGCTCTGTGAGAGGTTTTATCCCTCATTTCTAGAATATGAAGCTCAAAGTGGTTATGTGACTAGTTTAAACCACACAGAAAATAAGCAAGCAGTACAAGTAAAATTCAGACTCAGGCCTCTGAACTCTTTCTACTGCATCATCTACTGCCTGAAATAATGAGACTTGGTAGAATGCCAAGTAGCTACTAAAAATAAAGATGGATATAAATAAGTTGTTTACATCCTCCAAGTCTGCCTCACCAGTCGGTAGCAGAAGCCTCTAGATCAAGGGTACGGGAGGTAAACCTCCTCATCTTCCCTGTCCCTATGTCCAAATACATGTCCCGACATCCACTCTTCATTTACTCTTGCATATTGCTGAATCAGAGGACTTATGTTAATTTTGAAACAATTTAGTCCAACTACGTCAGATTTGAGAAGAGAACGCTGAGTCTAAAGAATAAAACATAAAACCCCTGAAGCTCCCATCTAAAGAGAGTCAAGCTCTATTAATTCTCTTAATATATTGTCTTTCATATTCTCCCTATTTTTACATTCCCATTTTTATCACCTTCATTCAGGTTCTTTACATTGTACTCACAAACTAATAAAATTGCCTCACATCCAATATACTACCAATTTCTTAATCTTCGTGAAATACCATAAAGACTCTGAGACACCTTAAAGGCAAAGACTATTTCTTTATATACTTCCCACAATACCTAACATAAAGTTATGCTTAATAAATAGCTATTAACTTAAAAAATGAGGTCATTGAAGGAAGAAGGGTAAAGAAATATATTTTTCAGGAAAAGGAACTGGTATCAAGATTTTTCTAGCATTTCTATAAATAATATGGAAATAAAAACACTGAAATTATTGAAAATATTGAAATCTCCAAGTTTATAAGTGCTACTTTTCTGACATAAAAAGACTGAATAAGAAACACCACTGTAGTATGAACTTACTAAAAATTGGCCAATATACAAAGAAACAGATTTAGAGGAAAACTGATGCATAAATGATGCATAAATCATTTAGTAAGCAGGGGCCTGAGAGACTACCACATTGTATTTCTGAAGACAATAGTTTAATTTACCATAGAGGCCAAGAAAAGCAATAAAATGTTTTCGTTTTTTTTAGAGTTCATTCATTGCACAAATATTTATTGGGTGCTTATGTGTGCCAGGTACTGGAGTTACAGTGTGATCAACAAAAAGCAAATCCCTGTCTTCTGGAGGTTTACAGAGGAAACCTGTTTATAATCTCATAAACAACATAAAACTAACATTATATGTGCACAGAGTGTGAGTAAGTTCATAAAAAGGGGAAGGAGTTAACTTAGATGGGAAAGGCAGAGAAGGCTTTTCCCTGGAAGTAAGTTTTAAGTTGTGCATGAAGAATAAGCAGGAGTTGGCCAGGAAAGAATGAGATCAGTAACTTTTAAGGCAAAAAGAACATAGTGTACCTGAGGTGGGAAAAAGTCTCACTCGTTTAGGAAGGGAAAGAAAGCCCGGAGGGCTAAGTGGTATAAGATGAGGCAGGAGGGCAAGCCAGATCATAAAAGCCTTCCTATGGATGTCATCATAGATTGTGGGTTTTAGCCCAACTACAATGAGAAACCCCTGGCGCCACTGAAGCACAGGCACTAAAAACATAAATCATTACTGATCCCATGGAATGTGTATACTTACCTAACTTGACAAAGTTCTACTAGATGTCTCATACATTAAAAAAAAAAAGAAAAAAAAATTGGAAAATAGTCCAATATACCAACCAAGCAAATAAAAGGACATCTATAGGGCTGGCCCGGTGGCGCACTGCTACAGTGCACCACTTGGGAAGCGCGGTGGCGCTCCCACCGAGGGTTCGGATCCCACATACAGACCAGCCGCTCACTGGCTGAGCGAGGTGAGGGAGCAACACCAAGGGTTGCGATCCCGTTGCCGGTCCCGGTCCGGTACGGGCGCGACACTGAGGGTTGCGATCCATTGCCGGTCACGAAAAAAGACAAAAAGGGGAAAAAATAATAGTAATAAAAAATAAAGGACATCTATAAAGGCAGAGAAAAACAATTTAACTAGAACCCAGGCCACAGCACAGACACCACAATATAACTGGTAAATTTAATGCCATTTTTTTTTTTTTTTGTCTTTTTCCGTGTCCGGCAACGGATCGCAACCCTCAGTGT